CCCCCCCCCCCCAAAAAAAAAAGAGACAAGGCAACGATCCCAAGTTCAAGTAAACTGCAGTAACATCACATGGTTTCAGTTCAACAAATTGGCTTCCTCCCAGACTTCCCACCTTTCAAAATCTAAACAGGGCTCAGATCATTTTTTTTTCTTTTGACATCACCAAGTTTGCTGTAATACTTAGAACCACAAATAGTGGGAATACAAGCTGTCGAAAACAAACAAGTAAGAAGTGATCATAGATCCCATATACATACAAGAACATAAGGAAGACTGAACCACCACAAGTCAGTATCATTTCCTGATTTCATACCCCCGTTTGGTTTCACTACTTTTTTATCCTTAACCTCCTCCATCTTTGAAGCTCCATTTCGATTTGACTTCTTGTGTCTGTTCATTGTTGTAGTACTCTTCATACTATGTGATTCTTTTGAGTCCACAACTTCAACCAAAGTGTTTCCAGTATTTGAAATAGTTCCTGTCTCCTGAATTGGTTTTTTTGAGTTTGCAGCTTCAAACAAACTGCTCCCATTATTTCTATCTACCGAAATATCTGTAGGTTACAACCAAACAGTGCAGTACATTAAAATGCATCTCTCGCTGATAACAGAAACTAGTGTAACAAGAGACAAAATTGGTTCCAAGATTTCTCTCATTGTTTTTCAGCAGTTACTCAATAGGTGAAAGACATAAAGGTTTAACACTATAAAGTACAATTTCAGAAGGTAATCAATAGATACAAACCTTGGGCAGCGATAAAGCGTGTCATTACATAAAAATGAAGCCAGTTAAAAGGGTTTTAGAATGTTACCGATTCCTGGTTCAGATTCCTCCAAGTCTGATGCAATTCTTTTTTTCTTCCGCCCTCTCGTCTCCAATGAGTTCTTCTTGACAGATTTGACAACATCAACTTTTCCACCTTCAACTTTTTTAATACTCCTTCCTTTTTTCCGCCTCAGGTTGTTTTCGGATGATTTCTTCATCTGTACAGGTGTTTCGGATTCTGCCTCTTCAGTGTTCTCTTTTCTCTCTATGCTTTCACCAAAATTCATGATAGCACCTCTGTGAGAATCAAGGGTGAACAGGTCTACCTCATCATCGCCTGACACATCGACCCCACCTTCTCCATTTCCGTTCTTCAGTACTTCAGTGCTGCCTTCCGCGGTTTTTTCTCCAATTGTACCAGCACTTGGATGTTCAGGGGGCACAAAACCCTTTGGTTTATTACTTGGCTTACTGCCGAAATCTCTAAATTTATGCTTTCTTTTAAATATTAAAGCAGCATTAAGCTCTTTCTCATCCAAATCAACACCATCTTTCCTGCCATTTTTATCAACATCCACCCTTGGATAAGTAACAGAATTTGCAGGCTGCTTGTCGCTACCCTTCTCCAGTCTCTTTCTCATCTTGATTAATCGTTCGTCAACTTCCTTCTTTATTCCAATTTTAACATCACTATCTTCTTCATCCTCGCTCTCCTTATTGACGTTACTTCCCTTCGTCTCCAACCTCTCCTTCTCTCTTGCCTCCCTTGCCATATGTCGAATTTCCTTTATCTTTTTCTCCATTTCAGTCTCATCCACAAATACAATACCCCCATTTTCACCATTTTGCTTTCCGTCTCCATTCACAAACATTCTCAATTTGTGCTTACTTTTACCTTCCAAATCCAAATCCAGGACTTCATTTTTATAGCCATTACGATCCGAAGTTCCATTTTTTCCACTATAATCAGCTGAACCAAGTACCCAAACAGCACAAACCGTTTGAAATACAAAGGCTCCAACTACCCACAACCCAAATTTCAGTAACGAGCTTTTAGTAAAGACACCTGTAGTTGCATCAACAACTCATTTTTACAGCCATTAAGGTCTTTAAAAAGTTTTTAACTTTTATAGCATAAATCATCAAAATTCACTACAGGGGTTTTAGAAAAATATACCTGCAGATGCATTAACAACTCCGGCAGGGCCTGAAACTTCTGACAGCCGGAGTTCTTGATTTCCCGACGTGTTCAGCTCATTTCCGGCGGCTAGGTCGAAGGAAAAAATGTGGGTTTGTTGAAGTGGGGTTTCATAGAAAGTACCTGCAGTGTCATTAACAACTCCGGCGGGCTCTGAAACTCCCGGCAGCCGGAGTTCTTGATTTTCCTGCAGTTTCAGCTCGTCTCCGACGACTTGGTCAGAAGGCAAAATGTGGGTGTGTAGAATTGGGGTTTCAAGGGGACTTATTATTGGTTCAGTTCGGGGGTTTATGTAGGGTTTAGTTAGGGTTTTGAGTATTTTTGGACGGAGATAGTTTTTTCTCTTTGTGAGTTTTCTTGGGCGCAGTGTAATTACGGCACATGCTAGCAAAAGGGGTTTCCTTGAAAGGAGAGCGTGAGGTCGAACGAAACATGGTGAAGTGCTGTAAGCTCCCGCCATGGTTGTGGAGTTTGGACCTCAACACTCAAATGTGACTTTGCAATTTTTTATTTATGCTTTTTATTAAAGGATAAATTAGCAAGAGCATTTCACTTTACTACCCACCTCTTAGACTTGAACTTTTCTTTTGACTTATTGGTTAGTAATATTACAATTTTTTTACGGTGTTAAAATAAATACATTTTCTAGAGACGTCAAAATGGGTTTGGCATTGAAGTCAGCCCAGCCCAGCCCGCTATTTGAGTAGAGTTGGGTTGAATATTTTCAGCCAATTTAAAACTAAGGCTTATAAGTCCGGCCCAAGTTAGTCCATTGACCCTTGAGGCTTGATCGAGTCTATGTCTGGGTCGGCCCATAGGCCAAAAATTAATTAAATTCAAATTTAGATATTTAATATTTAATAAAAGTAAAAACTAAAAAAATTAATAACTATAATCCTCATTCTCTAACCTAGTTTGCTCATTTACTCTTCCATATCAACTAGAATTTAGATTTTTGTAATATGACAAGATTAGTTTTTATTTTGCTTAATTAACAACGAACCAGGAAAGTTTTAAGTGGCCAATGATCAATTTGGTTGCTTTAATATATTATTAATAATTAAACTGCTCTTCGGTATAGAAAAAAAGTTAAGTTTTAATACCCAAAGAAAATTGACAACACTAGCAAACTTCATGCATTTTAAACATTTTATGGACTATAATGATGAAATGAGCAAATGATGTTAAACCTAAAGTAAAAAACCTCAACATATAAACCATTGAAGCAATCCATGAACCTGAGAAAAACTGAAAGAAAAGTACAGCAGCAACAACAACAACAACAACAACAACAACAATAACAATAACAACATACCCAGTATAATCTCACAAGTAGGAAAAAGTATTAAAATATTCATGTAACGTTAAAAAGAAGAGTTAGAGCTATATAGAATTTATTTTTTAATTACGAGATTCCGTGTTCATATGATTAAGAGACTATGTCACGAAGACATATTTAAAGATTAGGAAAAAAAATCCAAAAAATTGAAGGGTTGACCCGCCCTAGTCCGCGACCCTCTTAGGACTGGGTTGGCCTAGCCATTTTAAGACTCATTTAGATGGTGGGCCCGTCCGCCCTAGTACACCAAATTTAAAAGCCCGCAAAGTTTGGGCTGGGTTGGACTAGGATGGCCCATTTTGACATGAGGCATAACTTTATATGAGGGGATTAAATATGATTAGAGTAATTTTTGAAATCACTTTGCTAAATGTCAAAGAAATTCAATAAATGTATAACCTAAAAAATTAATTATTACATATATTAATAGAATAATTTTATATTATTGAATCTCCTTTCTCCAAGCTAGCTTTGTTGTTGCACAAACAAACAGTTAAAAACTTCATTACAGAAGAGATATTAAAAGTAAGAATAAAGAGATAAATATTGATAAGAAATAAAATATGTATTTAAAAAATTAATTAAGATAGAAGGGACAAAATTATTTAAAGTTTGCGGGTAAATTTGATTTTTAAGTAAATTTGAAGGAGTAAAATGACTTTTTAAAATCACAAACTAATAATAGTAACTTAATTATAAGGTATAATAAAAGGCAAAACATGAAGTGGTCTTAGGGTTTATTATTTGACTCTTTATTCTCAAATATCTGCTCCGCCTACTGTAACGATCCAGCCGGTAGTTTTGAGTATTATAGTCCCGTTTTCTCATTTACTGCTCAATTTATGAATTATCAGGTTAGTTGGTTCGGGTCCGGAAGAATTTCGGAGTGAAATGAGACACTTAGTCTCATAATTAAAAACTTAAGTTGGAAAAGTTGACCGGATATTCACTTATGTGTAAACGACCTCGAAATTAAATTCTGATGATTTCAATAGTTCTGTATGGTGATTTTGGACTTAGGAGCGTGTCCGAAAAATTATTTGGAGATTCATAGTGGAATTAGGCTTAAAATGGCGAAAGTCAAATTTTTGGAAAGTTTGACCGGAGAGTTGACTTTTTGACATCGGGGTCGGAATCCGATTCTGAAAATTGGAATACCTCTGTTATGTCATTTATGACTTGTGTGCAAAATTTGAGGTCAATGAGACGTGATTTCATAGGTTTCGACGTTGTTTGTAGAAATTTGAAATTTCAAAGTTTATTAGGCTTGAATTGGGGTATGATTCGTGGTTTAACCGTTGTTTGAGGTGATTTGAGGGTTCGACTAATATGGCTTATCCGTGGGATAGTTGCATTTAATAATGCAAGGTCATTGGACCTAGAATGGGTACTATCATGTTTGATTACAGTATATTAAAAAGGATAATATTGAAAGTCGGCTTAGCAAGTGATTATGGTTCTGGTTGGGGCGAGAGAGCTCCATGACTTATTGATCTGATAAGGGATTACGAGATTTTGTGTGTTTCTTTTATTATCAACAGTGTACGAAAGTGTTGGGATGAGATTTTGTTCGATATGGGGTTTAATGTTAGTACTTGATTGGTTTGGAATAGTTATTGTGATCAGGAATGGTACTACGAGCGGGCGAGTTGTGTAATATGCTGGGTGATTATATCTGCGATTATAGTTATAGATCGATAAAGCTTGTTCAGACTCATACAATGCGTAAATGTAAGATTCGTGTCTTGAAAAGAAATTCTGAAGGTTGGGAATTGAATTTCAAGGTTTTTGGGCTAAGGTTAAATTAAGGATTTTCAGTTGTATTGTGTTGTCAAACCTATATGGAATAGGGTAACGTGGGATCACCCCCGGGTACGTGCGTGATAAGATGAAATAGTGATTTGATGGCTTGGAAATAACTCTTGGAACGTTCGAGGACAAACGTATATTTAAGTGGGGGAGAATGTAACGACCCAACCGATCGTTTTAAGTATTACAACCCTATTTCCCCATTTACTGCTCAATTTATGCCTTACAGTTGATTTATAACTTATCGGGTTAGTTGGTTCGGGTCCAGAAGTATTTCGGAGTGAAGTGAAACACTTAGTCTCATAATTAAAAACTTAAGTTGGAAAAGTTGATCGGATATTCACTTATATGTAAACGACCTCAGAATTGAATTCTGATGATTTCAATAACTTCCGTATGGTGATTTTAGACTTAGGAGCGTGTCCGGAAAATTATTTGGAGGTCCGTAGTGGAATTAGGCTTGAAATGGCGAAAGTCGAATTTTTAGAAAGTTTGACCGGAGGATTGACTTTTTGATATCAGGGTCGGAATCCGATTCTAAAAAGTGGAATACCTCCGTTATGACATTTATGACTTGTGTGTAAAATTTGAGGTCAATCGGACGTGATTTGTTAGGTTTCGGCGTTGTTTGTAGAAATTTAAAATTTCAAAGTTCATTAGGCTTGAATTGGGGTATGATTCGTGGTTTTAGCGTTATTTGAGGTGATTTGAGGGTTCGACTAAGTTTGTATGATGTTTCGGGACTTGATGATATGTTTGGTTGAGGTCCCGGGGGGCTCGGGTGAGTTTCGGGAGGTTAACAGATCATTTTTGGACTTGGCATGTCGGCTGAAGACTGCTAGTGAGTTTTTCTGGTTTCCTTCTTCGCATTCGCGAGTGGGCCCTCGCGTTCGCGAAGGGGAATTTGAGGCAAGCAAGATTTGCCCTTCGTGTTCACGAGGGGGTCTCGCGTTCGCGAAGAGGAGTTGGTGTTAAAGCTTTGCGTTCGCGAAGAAGAGAAGACAGCTGGGGATCCCGTGCGTTTGGCCTTCGCGTTCGCGTGGGGTGTGTCGCATTCGCAAAGTGAGGGGACAGCAAAGCTTCGCGTTCGTGAGGCTCCTTCCGCGTTCGCGATGAAGGCATATCTTGGCATAATTAAAAGTCCCAAAACGGGGGTTTTGAGTTCTTAACACAAAATTGAATTGGGAGCTCGGTAGAAGGCGCTTTTTGGAGAGATTCTTGCGTGGGTGTTTGGGGTAAATGATTCTTATCCAGTTTTGATTAATTTTCATAATTATGCCTTTGAATCCATCATTTAATGGGTGAATTAAGTTGAAACTTTTGGAAAGCCCTCTCAGTTTAATTTGAATATTTGAGGGTCGAGTTGAGGTCGGATTTTGGTAAAATTAGTATGGTTAGACTCGTGGTTGAATGGACTTTCGGATTTTATAACTTTTGTCGTGTTCTGATACGTGGGTCCCACATGCAATTTTTGAGTGTAATTTCGGATTTTGTGAAAAAATTAGTATTTGATATGGAATAAATTCCTATAATTTGTGTTGACTGAATCAAATTAATTGTGACTAGATTCGAGCCGTTCGAAAGTTAATACACGCATAATGGAATTTCTGGAGCATTGTTTAGCTTTCTCGACATTGGATTCGGCTTATTCGAAGTAAGTAACTCTTCTAATCTTGGAGCTGAGGGTATAAACCCTGAATATATATATTATGTGAATTGTTTGGAGGTGACACACATGCTAGGTGATGGGCGTGTGGGCCTGTACCATAGAAATTGTGACTTAATTGTTCCGTGGAATTTTGTAGTCAAATAATCTTGGCATTTTTCATGTAGTTTTATGTGTTAAAGAAATTGAGCTGAGAATCATATTAAAAATCATGTTGAGGCTATGTGCCAGTATTATTGGGACTCACAGAGGTCATATTACTGTGAATTATTTGTTTTAAATTGAAAATTTATACTCAGTCATATTCATTTCATTACAAATCATATCTCAGTCTCTCNTGTGGATGGGCTACCCGCCTGCAGCAGGCCTTATAGGCTTTATATAGCACGTGAGTTGTCCGTGCGGATTCAGATATTGATACTATAGCATGTGAGTTGTCCGTGCAGATTATAACGCTTGGGCTGAAGGAGCCCCTCCGGATTCTGTACACACCCCCAGTGAGCGCAGGTACCTGCTGAGTTCGAGTGTCGAGCGCGAGTGCCGAGTGATTTGGGAGGATTGAGTGTCTGTGAGGATTGAGTGATTGGGAGGACTGAGTGACTGGGAGGACTGAGTGACTAGGAGGACTGAGTGAATTGATACTCTGAGAGTATGCATATGGTTTTATCACTATGTTGCATTGC